ATAAAAAACAATGAATAACCATTTGTATCAAAAGCATTTGTATTTGACATTTATTCAGTGTATGTAATCTAATTTACTTTGTACATTTTTCTGGCCCTTTTCCCTATTAGGTTTGGCAGTGGCTTATTCGTAACCAGATTTGGTTTAATACATTTACGTGGTAGATGTAGTGTAGGAGTCGACTGTCATGAATCCACAGAGGCGTAACAAATCCTTTTTGATCCTGTTGACCACCACCTAATTGGGTACCTATTTATTAGTTTTTATATACAAAAATATAATATAATACAACCCTAGGCATTTAAGAATAGGTAGATAGATACAATTATGTGTGTATATTATTCAACTAATTAGTGTCGCTAAACCACAGTAAAAGTAATTGTTCTAATTCTTATAACTTTTTTTTAGGGTACGAATCTCGGCTAAGGGCGTCAAAAAATGAGGCTTAGCCCGCCCGTCAGTCAGATTAGATATTTCTTTCAGTTTAAGCTGGGATGAGCAAGGGTCGGGGGAGACGACACGACGGGCTTTCGGATTTTCAACACGTTTGTTCATTTCATTGTTCGTTCATAAGAAAAATTGCGTAGTAACAACGGTTCATCCATGGTCTAGACTCAGGCATATTTCGTGATTTGAATTTGATCCTAGGTTCCTCTTAGATAGCCGGAGTTGCGGGCTAAGCGCAATGAGTCACCGCGGCCTCGGCCCAGAGCAGGAGAAGGAACGGGGGGTTTTTAGTCAGTAAGAGTCTAACACTCTCTCTCGCGTTACCCCAGGCGGGAGATGAGAAGGAGAGATGGGTTTATTGTTGCATGATGAAGATACTATTAAACTTGTTACTGCCAATATCATTCATACGTGCAATAAAACTTAACTACGTAGAAAATAATACGGTCGTATGTGTTAAAGCAGCAAGTAAGTGCTCATTCTTATGGACAGTTTTACTATCGGGCTATCAACAGTAGATTTTATAGGGTACGTTAGTTACTACATACTCAATTGTAAGTATTGTACTCTCCCGTCTTAATAGTATTGCAACTGTTGTTTATAATACTAGCATATGCTCGCGACTTCATTCGCGCGTGGAATAGATACTTCCTGCAGATTTTTGGTATAAAAACTATTCTATGTCATTTCTCGAGTTCCAAACTATGTCTGTACCAAAATTCACAGAAATCGGTTCAGTAGTTTAGGCGTGAAGAATAGACAGGCAGACAGACAGAGTTACTTTCGAATTTATAATATTATTTTGGATAAAAATTCTTTATCCAGTTAAGTATTTGAGTTAAACAGTTGTATTAATCTCCAATATTCTACGGACTAGAGAATTTATTTTCTAATGACGAAAAGTGATATTACTCTAAACACACTGTAATCTTGTTATTGAAGAAAAACTGGTGTTAAATTGTATTAGAGAAAGTTACAAAAGTTCGTGTTAGCAACAAAATAAATATCAATTAGGCAAATTGTACCTAGGTACTTTAACAACATTTTGTGCCCTTTATACTTCGTTATGTTAGTTTGTGCAAACTTTTACATGTTTATCCCTTAAGTTGGTTTTAATAGAATGATCGAACATCGTTTCGGTGTAAGTTAATATTAACTTTAATTTGAAGAGTTAGTTGCTCTTTAGGAGTTTGTTGGTTTATCTAATTATATAAAATATCTAAAACGTCTATATTCTGTGTAAATGGGGTGATTAGATGAGGGATGAGCGACAAGACTAATAAAATCTAGTTTATGTATTGTGTGGCTCGATTTAGTTACGAATGATAGGTATACTCTGCCTGATTGCCGCCCACGACGGTCGAAGATGACGTAACGTGATACGCAAACAGAGCCGGCAATTATCTCGCTCGTTATATCGACGGATAGGACGAATTCTTTTCTCTTAGTTCACTTGTGTATCGGTTTTAAGTAACTAAGAATTCCCATGTTTATAAGGTTCATCATCATCATTCATCATTCAGCCTATAAGTGCCCACTGCTGAACAAAGGCCTCTTCTCAAACGGAGAAGGTTAGGTTAGGTTAGGTTAGATCCCGAGGCGAAGGCGCGCGCGGTGTCTACGCGCGCCTCTAAGAGGATGCACGGGGTAGTCGAACACCTCACTACCCCGTGCTAGAGACGAGGCCCGGACAGACCGGGCCAGCACTAGTGTGGGGCTGCGGAAGAATGTGGAGTCCCGCGGCCCCGTGCGCACGTGGGAGGAGACACCGGGGTGGTTTTAGCCGGTAAGAGTCCGGCACGCCCCTCCGCCTCTCCCCAGGCGGAGGAAGTCCATGAGGATTTCCCCCCGTAAAAAAAAAAAAAAAAAAAGTTAGGTTAGATTATTTCAAAATTGGACCCTATTATTGAAACATTTTTGGAGATTTAAATACCTTTTTTGACTCAGGACTCTTTTCCATCAAGCATACGTATGTAGGCTTTAGGCTTATCTATTGGTTTTTAATCAGTAAGAGTCTGCCTCTCGCCCTACCTAGGACGGGAAAAGTCATAAGAAAAAAAAGGACACTGTGCTTTTAAAAGTTTTGTGTTTTATACTAACTACCTACTTTGAGTTACGTTATAAACCCCCGGTTTCCGAAAGGCTGATCAATGTAAAATCAATTTAATCTCTTGTCAAGTCATCTGATTGGTTGACTGAATTATTAACAGCGAATCAGATGCCTTGACAAGAGATTTAACAGGAGATTAGTTAATTTTAGCGTTGACAAGCCTTTCAGAAACCGGGTGTAAGTCTGCATATTAACCAAAAAGGTCCATATTAGTAATAACAATTGACAACAAAATCAATACTAAAGCATAACAAGAGTCAACCTTAAACACCATATACCATAAAATATTTACGTAACCTCCACAACCTTCAGTACTTAAGTACATACATACAACATATATTTATAACAAAAGCTGAGGCATGACCTTTGTTATTCAAACCTTAAACGGATAATCCCTAAATAGCCTCAGATAAATCGTTGAACCGTGTCGACTAATTCAGCGCGTTTTATCAAAGGGCCTTGTTTCTGGCATCAAATATGGCTTTTATACATGGTCTATATGGTATGTATAATAAATATTCAGGGTCGATGAATGTAGGTACTTAGGTATTTACCTATGTAGGTAAAAGTAGATCAGAGACATTTATTCCTATATACAATAGATTGTGCGACTTAAGAGTGTTACACATTGTTTTGCAGTATACTAGTAGTAGTAGTAAGTAGTTAGACTTTGAAAGCTATATGTATTTGCCCAGAAAAGAAAGAACGAACTGGCCGGCTCGACTTAAGTGATACTATACAGTGCGGCCGACGTATCTTGGCGAGTCTGAAGTTAGCCGTTTGTCTGCGCAATGGATCTTTTAGGAACAAAATTGTCTACTGCGCAGCTAATCAGCTAACTTCAGACTCGCCAAGATACGTTGGCGGTATTGTACGGCCTCAGCTTACGTTGTGTTTCGCCGTATGAATAACGTTAGGTACTGGAGTCCTTCGCTCAATCCACAAATCCCCGATTACTTTCCCGGACTTTTACGGTTTTTTTAATCCCGGACCCCATTTAAGGCTGGCAACGCTCTTCAATGTTTCGAGTGCCCATCGGCGGCGCCTACCGCTTACCACCATGTGATCCGAATGGTCTTTTGCGAAACTACCATATAAAAAGTATGGCAGACGTCTGGTTTTAGTGTCTTTTATATATTTTTCTTTTACGCTTTATACATATGTGTTAATAAACTTTGATATAGCCATGACATTTTACAACGGATATTAAGTTGAGCGCCAATTATTTCTGTTTATGTTATCAACATTAATCAGTATTTTCACGTGATAAAGCAATATCATCGTTCAAGGACATGAAAAGCTACGTTATATTTACTACAACTGTGTCAGGTATAAACATTTAAACACGTTTCAACCTATTTACTTAGGTACGTATGTATTAGGTAGCACTTTATTTGACATTCAGTAAATGTAGGTTCAACCTTCCTTTGAAATATTGAGTAGGTAAATACTGAACATAGAAAGTAGGTGGTTGAACTCTCTACCATTTTAGATCTTATATGTCTCGAGAATATGTATGTGTACCTATGTGTCGGGAACCTCATAAAGTATAAGATAGAGGTGGTTATTTATTTTTTTCCATGCTTAGGTAACGAAAAGATTGCGAAAGAATTTATATTTCATGTTCATTTTATTTGTATGTGTGTTGATATAGCTCAGCTGTTTAATAATAGGTATATCTACTTATTCCTAAGTTTCTTCATTATATTACGTCTACAAAAAGGTGTTTGTTATTAAAACATTTATATACCTAAGCATCTAAAGAACGCGATTCAATATCGTTGAAAGCACATAATGCCTCACATTAATCTCCCTGTTCATTATGTCGTGTAATGAATAAACTTTATGAAGGTTCTTAACTGCGGTTGTTTTATAGGCAACTGGGATTGTGAATGTTCGCTACCTGCTGCCCCGAGCGAGCTCCCCACAGAAACGTGTCAAGGCAATAAATAGGTCAAGGGGACCCGGGGGTCACAGTACAGCTATACGTTTATTTGTATTGACTACCTTAAATCAATAATAGGATTGCTTGAAATGTTAGCATTCAGATTTAAGTTTTAAATGTATTTATTTTAGGTCGTGTTTGCGCTACTGCGTTCATTTGTAACGTGTATTCGTAACGTGGGCGAGTGTGTAGGAGGTGTTGCATTATGTGTGACCTTGAATGATAATGTAGTGTGATACTAACCTATTTCCAGGGAATACGTTGTTCATTAAGTACCAGCGCGAGCGGTGTATAGGGAACCTTAATAAGGACTCTTGTAACATAACTAATGTGATTTTAAGCGTATGCTGTGAGATATAAAGCTCAGTAATATCGTATGGCCTAATTAAGTAGCTCTTGCGGGAATTTGCGGGACACGGGACACTTTAAATATAATTATTCACTATGTTACAACAAGAATGGGAGTATAGCTCTACATTTGTGCCATTTTTGTTCCAGGCATATTCAAATAAAGTGATAATTATGACAAGCAATATATTATTAATTTATGATGGGTTCAAGAAGACTCTTATGTAAACATTTAAGTTTGAACCCTGTACAAATATGGATATTCAGAAGCAGCACCTATGTCCGCGACTGGTGGATTATTTAACCATCGTCGGAGCGAAACCTTACACTTCGGGGAAGGGGCTTGCCCCTGTACAGGTAAGCCAATGTTTACATACCACTATTTTGGCAAATAGAGGGTCACATTGTTGATTCGATTTTTAGCTAAATTTTCTTATAGCAACAGTCTGCAATTAGAATGAAATTGAGACAAAGGGCCAGGTTTTACGGTTAATTACAGAACCTCGTATCTTTTAAAAGAGTAAACTTTACCAAACAGAATTTAGAATTTTCTAATTAGTGATTCTTATCCTTTTGTTCTTCAAAATTATCTGCTAGTTTTTTGGACAATACATAGGATTCGAATTACAATCTTCCGAACCCTTAGTCCTCAAGGGATTTACGAAAGTCGAAAAGTCCGTAGATTCCAGTTACTGATCTAGGAGTTTGTATTGTACAGGCTCCTGAACTTCTGCGCCGCTATCCACTGACCAATCACGATGATTTCCCCCTGCCTTTGGACATGGTGTATTTCTGCCAACCGGAGGGATGTGTGTCCGTGGGGCCACGTCGGGCGCCCGGCCACCTGGCTTCCAGGGATACCACCTCATTTGTTTTTCAACTTACTGATAAAGACTCCGGTAAATATAACTTTGTCATTTCTTATTTGGAATTTTTTTCGATCGTTTATTATTTTGACGTATAAATATTGTATCAGGTAAGACTCGTTTCGGCATCTGCGTCAACTTCTACCGAGCAGTGGAGCGTGCGCAAGCCCCGGGTCCACGCGAGCGCAGCATGCTACGCCGCGAGTCTTGGCGCAAGTCCATGGAAAAAAGTTCCGACTCCGCATTCTCCAGGTGAACATAAACTATTTCTGATAGAACATCCAATCTTTTTAAACTTTTAACTACTCAAATTATTCCTTTTGCCTTTTTATTTTCTATAGAAATTTTACTTAGTAAAGGTACTTTTAAAGGATTACCTATACCTTTAGGGTCTATTTCATAATAAAACATAATTTTGCATGAACAATGTGCCAAATTAGTTTATCAGGCTTTTGTTATTGTAGTTTGGATGACCTGACCAGTTTAAGTTTAGATCTTCTATTAAAGTTATTAACTATTGAGCTTAGACTAAGACGTAGCGAATGTTCCAGTGACTATAGGAGCAGCAACGTGGCCCCGAGTGACTCGGAGCGCGACTGCAGTGCAACACTAGCGCCGCGGCTTGCGCCGGCTCCAGACTCCGAAAGCGGAGGCTCGCACTCACATTCACCCAGCCCGAGGGCAACTAGAAAGCGGCAGGTAAAGAAAAAGGTTTCTGTTGTCCCAATTTGGTCCATAATCAACATTTTTGTCGCAAAATTAACAAATTATAATTGGTATTGTTACAGAGAATACGGAACCATTCTCTTACATCACTGTGCCTGCTTTCACATCATCCATTCTTCTCTACATTCCGAGAGTGCCTATTTATCCTAAAGAAATTGATAGATGCATGCAACGAGTCTTCCAGTCCACGACGTGTCGGCGCGTCAAGGCAAATTCTTAGGTAACATGCTTAACAAAGCCTAGGTACCTATTATTATCTAGGCATTGTCTCATCAAGCCGTAGGCAAGAAGCACTGAAACATAATGGTACTTGTAATTAATTAAAAATAAGGTACTTACGTATTATCCTCCGAAAAGGTTTTAGCAGAATTCTCTTTGTGTACATTTCCATCCAAAATAATAATTAATTAATGTTATATCCAATAAAATTATCAACGTCTTTTATCTTTGCGGTTGGTAACGAAATTTATTCACAAAGAGATAACAGAAATGTTTTGTTAGCTTTAGGCCGTAGCCTGAAGCTTAATAACTTGTTGAAATAATAATGAGAGGATCTTTTTGGCATACTAGAATTTTTGTTCTTAGCAACAATGGATACGGGTAGGGAAGACAATTATTACGGACCATGTCCAAAAATACATATTACTTCTTTGCATTATTCTTCGCGCTTTAAAAGATTCGCTATAGACTCCTCGGATGTTTAGATAATGATGTCTCTTAACAAGGGCTAATTTATATGTTTAGAGATACGGTATGGTCGGTGTTGACTGGCCAAGCTTACGACAACACTCCGACGATCGTGTTGCACGATGTAAAGGAGATCGAGACATGGATCCTGCGGCTGCTGTCGGCGCCTGTACCGGTGCCGGGGAAGACAAGGCTCGAGCTAGAAGTACTGTCGCCCACGGCACACTCACCGCTACTGTTCGCGCTACCAGACCACACAAGATTCACACTCGTCGACTTTCCTTTACATTTACCATTGGAGCTTTTGGGCAAGTCACTTTGATGTTTGATTTAGGACCCATTTTTAAATGTTTATATTTAATATTTATTTCAACGATCCGATTATATTTATTATTTATTTGACTAATTTTTAAAACTTAATGGAACACTGTGAAATTAGCCCTTATTCTATTGTACGAAACTTATTAAAAGAACCAAAATTGTGTTATAGTTATTAACTAATTATATGTTCTACAGGTGTAGACACATGCTTGAAGGTCTTAACATTAATCCTGTTGGAGAATAAAGTAGTAGTCCAATCTCGGGACTACAACGCGCTATCCATGTCGGTAATGGCGCTGGTAGCTATGCTGTACCCCTTGGAGTACATGTTCCCGGCCATACCGCTCTTGCCAAGCTGCATGAGCTGTGCTGAACAGTTACTGTTGGCTCCTACACCCTTCCTTATTGGAATACCAGCTACTTTCCTGACATACAAAAAGAATTTCAGGTAATGTATAGACTTGAGTCCTTAAACCGCTGCCCTGGCTTTTACAGGTAGGTAGAAACTCACTAACAATGGTCTCTCTCTATAGGATGCCCGATGACATTTGGCTTGTGGATCTAGACGCCACCAAATTAATATGTCCGTCTGGAACCGACCAGGATTTGCCCCCGTTACCCGAACCCGAAGGTTCTGTATTAAAGAATCACTTGAAGCAGGTACAAACTTCACTATCTCATTTCGTTTTCATTTTTCTCTGAATGTTTTACTTTCATGTCTCCATAGAACTTTTTTTCTCTTGTCACTTAAACTTTCTCTAATATATTGCACTTGTGAGCGCATTTTTATCGATGTCGCTAAGCTGTTGTGACGAGTACTTTGACTGTTAGTATTTAACAATTTACACCTAACTATTAAAACGTTTCAATCGCGATACATTTTAGACAATTCTGTTCTAATACAATAACAATATTTGATTTGATATCAGAAGAAATATAACTTTGGAAGATAATTAAATCTTACAGAGGCAATAAAGTAGTTCCTATACAGCATGTTTGAAGATTGTGAGGTATTCTGTTTACTTTGATTTCCTTGTTTTCCTTTGTGTCACTAACACGCCCTCACTTCTCTCTCCTAACGCTAGGCCGTGCATCTCATGGGCAGTACCGGGAGTGGTGTAAATATCTATACTCTTTTTACATTGCACACTTTGACTATATTATTATATTCACTAACTATTTACCCGTTATGTTGATAATATTTTTGTTTGTGCCGATTTAGTACGATACTTACAGCTAACTTGCACATGACACTGAGTTAGTATACTACATAGGTACATAATATATATTTATATTTATTTATTTATTATACCGAATGTTATTTAAGTTTTGCTTTTCTTATCATTGGCTCTTACACTGAAGCATATTATGATGCATTCAAAATGCTGTGTTAAACTTAGAAGGCACAACAATTAATTGATTGTGGAACCATTAAGAGCAGATGATAAGAAAAGCTGTGTATAAATAGGCACATATACTGGCCTATTCACCAGAAATACGTGTTACTGTCTCAAAAACACAGTTCCTAGGTCCAAACATTTCTTCTTCAACTTCATTTTGTTTTTTTTTACATTTCACCAGACTGTAACACTGTTTCGTATGGAGTGGATTTACTTATTATGTCTTGTGGTTTGTGTGCGGCATGATTTGCCTGACTTGTGATTGTGCTACCGCTACTGTTTGTGGGACAGTGCAGCTTCCTACACTACTTATACTTATCTATATTATACGTAGACTTTTAATTACTTATAATACAACATGCAATTGTACGATAAAACTTGAGTAGAATGATCTTGCAAATGAAATTTGGATACTTTGGTTTTTGCTACACTTAATATCTACCTAATAAAACATAGAAATAATTAAAAGATTTTGCCTAGATTTTGAGTGAATATTTGCTATTTTATATCTTTTATAAGCGACAAGTATATTACATTTTGCTTTTAAAAAATATTTACTATTATTATGTAGGTGTACAGATAATGCGTGACTTGTAAATGGATCAGTTTATTTAAGGATTGTTTTTATATGATTTTAATTGTTGAATAATACTGGCAGGCTTTGAACAGCTTGACGAGTACCACGGCGGAGCAGGCAGCCGCGCCACTAATGCCGTCTAGACGAGACAGTGTGGGCGGAGCCACGCTCAAGTAAGTAAATTCTCGTATTCCAGACTGTTCCTTACTACACCCTGTAATTTACCGTCTGATCTCGCTATGTAAATTGTCATTCAATTACCCACTTCAATGAATCAAATATAGCCTAAATATAGACTGAAGCCTACCTATATTTAGACTTCAAAGTCAATATTTAAGTACCTAACAGTTTATTGCCATTCTAAGACTAGACAATTTTGAAACTTGCTGCTTGTTTTACAAATTGCTGCACCGGGTCTGGGTGTGATGTGCATGTGAATTTGTATGTAAATGCATCCAGGCACGGGAAAAAATCATAAAGCAGACAAAGCTTCCTTTAAAAAAGCAACAAAAATAACGTGTGATAGGTGTACTCTACTACTTTACGATGTATAGGGTGCAGCCGGCGTCGTACCGCGGCAATGACGGGGCGCAGTCGGCGCCGCACAGTACGCCGGAGAGCCGGCGCGTGTCGCTGTCGGGCGCGGGCGGGGCCGCCGGCCCGCCGCCGCCGGGCGCCGCCAGCGCCGGACACACGCCGCAGCGACACTCGCTCGCCTCGCCGCATCACCCCCAGCCACAACCCTTCAACCCTCTCATCTATGGACACGATGTAGACTCCGTTGATGTTGCGACCAGAGTTGCTATGGTAAGATACAATTTCGTTAACGTTTAACCAATTGTTACCTGTTTGTATTTTACTTTTTTGTGGCATTGATGCAATTTTGTGTCTTTATTTAAATTGTCAATGCCTTTGTTCAAGATTATTTTAGGGAACAAGATGTGAAATCTATTTTACTATACATTTGAATTAAATACCCTGAGCCTTAAGATGAGATAACATCAGATACGTTTATTTGTCACTGATCACTGCGATAAGGATGATATTTATTTGGGCGGTGTATGCACTCTTTAAAACAACGTATTGACAGCTTAAAGGTTTATTAGTTACTGCAATGAAGGCAAGTGGACTGTCTAAATTCAAGATAGGGTAGGTAAGTACCTATATATGCATAATTATGGCTGCTGTCTTGGTGGCATGCGTTTAGACAGTCACAAAACATGGTCCTTAATATAAATAACCTACCTATATGTTGTTACAGGTGCGATTTTTCAATTCACAAAACATTCTGGCGAATTTTATGGAGCACACACGAACACTGCGCCTGTACCCGCGGCCTGTAGTCGCCTTCCAGATAAACAGCTTCCTCCGATCACGACCGAGGACCACCTCCTTCTTGAACAAATTTGCTAGAACACAAGTATGGCGTTAATTATATAGATACCACTAATAAGATACTCCAGAAGCCATTTTCTCAAATAAATTATATGGTTTCTTTATAGGCAGTAGAGTTTTTGGCGGAGTGGTCCCTAACTCCGGGCAACGTAGCGTTTCTACGTGTTCAGACGGGCGTCTTTGATCCGAGACAAGTAGGGGACAAGCCCAAATGGTTCGCCGACCAATTACAGCCCATCCGGTTCCCTGTATGGGATGATGGAAGCTCACTCAACGGAGCTCTGAGACAACTGCAGCGACAGGAAAATCAACCGACAGGTTTAGAGCTCTTGAATAATAATACCAATAAATATTAACATTGTTGGTACATCTGAATAAATTAATCCAATAAAATGACGATTTCTTGTATATAGATGAAAGCGGTTCTGACTCTGAGGCTGCAGAAAGTACAAGCTCTTCATACTCGTCACTCAGCGACTTTGTATCAGAAATGGCTTCATCAGATCTCTCTCCAGGTAATTCCATTTTTAACAAGTAAGATAAACGCACTCTTTGTGGTAGAAGGTCTATATTACATCGTTAACTTTTAATACTTATAGAAGAATTATAATGATTCACTCCAAATTGTGCAGGTGGAAATCAGCATCAGCATGTTATCGGAGAGACTTACAGCGCTGTTGTGCAAGTACCGATGACGCTATCATCATCATTGGATCCTAAAACGGTAAAACAAATACCTATCATCACTATAGAACTATTATTTCCGAATTAACCGTCGCCAAAAGAGCCTTACTATGGTAACTGCAAACTTATAGTTCTTTATCAACACACTTCCTCATAAAGTGGCTCTTTAATCCCATGGCAATTAGGCACATAATGACACCTATAATCAAAATGGACTTTTTCATTACTATTATCCACGAGTAGGTAAATAATGGAAGTATTTTTTTGATATTATTAATTTTACTTAATTTACTAATTGAGTTACGCTTATACTTACTTGCGCTAAAATGCTATCCGTTAATAGCCCAAATAAAAAGGAAACCTAATTTTTTAGTCTATGACCGATGCGCAAGTACATTAGGTATAGGGAAACTGATTATTTTTTCCCGCCATTTTGAAACAATTTTCAGATTTCTCGAAGTATCGTTTTCTCTTTTGAAGTAACTTAGTTAATTTAAGATGTCCGCAAACACAATTTATGAATAAAATGATATATTCAGAAGTGTCTTTCAAAAACGTCGTATACATTGTCATCATTCATTCGTCGAATTGTATCGATTATTACCGTCCTGGGCTCTTTAAGGCCCTCGCCTGACGATTCGGGACTTAATGCACCTAAGCAGTAGGTATTCACTAACATTACACACTTATACCATACTGTACTTATACCACTTATACCATAATGTGCTATTATTTAACACAGGTGTACAGTCCACCCTCATCTCTGATGTTTGGTAACGAAGAGGATGCTGGGGGCAGGGACGCTGGACGGGCCTCCACGTCCCCCTCCCCGTCCGCCTCCAGCTCCGACCATAGTGACCTCTCAGATGACGAGGCCCCCGGAGATATCGCTGTAGAAGCCAACGATGCTCATCCTCCTCCTGTTAAGAAAAGCGTAAGTTTTTCTCGCATTTGTGTGGTTTAATATGTTGATACTGTGTTTTAAATCACTAGTAAGAAAATATTTTTGGCAAAAAAATAAGGGGTACTTCCGTACCTACTTATTGTAATCGCTAAACTGGTTGTTAATTTTCATGTAGATACCTACGCTTAAATGGCACCGTAATGTTGGATTTATGATTGAAGCGGATATTTTTCCAAATCTGTGTACAAGTGCACAACAATGTACCTGCAAATAAAAAATATTGCTACAACACAGCTTAGTGCAATAAAATGAAATACTTATGTATTTTAGCAGCCAATCAGCTATCAGGCTGTGAAGTGGTGATTGTGGTTATAACTGTGTTTTCTGTGCTATATTGAATATGCTAACGTGTAGTAGCGGCAACAAGACGAGATAATTGCCTACTTAAACTTTTAATGTCACACAAATTTATGGTAAATCCTAAATGAAATGATTAAAAAAAAATGCGAATTCTTTAAAGTTGAATTATGTCGTCTTGTGTCGTATATGTACGTACGTATGCACGTGTGAGCTAACGATGCACGGCACCCAGGACACGGACAGCGGTAGCTTCGGGCGCGAGTCAGACTCGAACTCGACGACGACGCCGCAGACCGTGGTCCGGCGGCCGCGCGCCCCCGACAGCAGCGCCAGCGACTCCGACCGCGCGCTCACGCCCTCCCACCACTCCCTGCACCACTCACAACATAAAGTACGACACACCATACACCGTTCTCATCTTCTAATCACGCTAGTCGACTCAATAAGTGTACTTGATTACCTATCACATAGTCGTAACGAGCTTTTGCAAAGACAGAAAGTATTTTTTGCATATTTTTTATGGGTTAGGATGCCAGACTAGTGGACATGACCTGGTAAGCAATCGGCACCGCATAGTATATAACATAGATACACGTAACACCATATGAGTTACAATGGCGTTGTCGGCCTCTTGGGTCTCAAGATTCTGATTTAGGGATTGGAGATGGGGGGGGGGAGGATTTGGTGCTCCCTTAATCTCACTAACACGGCGAAACACAGCCGAACAAACGCTGGTTATATGCCGAATGTCTGAGCATGGTTGTTCCACATTTAAATAATGTTTAAACAACAAACTATTTATACGAAATTCGTTTTTTTTATATTGGACCTAGTAACATCTCTTAATAATTTGTAGAGCGTAAGCAGTGGCGTGTCCCGTCAAGCATCACAGTCGTCACTATTGGAACAGTTTGCCGCGCAAGCCAAGGAGCTAGTGAGGGAGACAACACGACAGAGTAGTCAGGAGGGACTGCTCGCACATATGGACAAGGTAAGGCTATAACAACAAGACAATCGACCAAGTCAATGTTTCCTTTATGTTCTTTCATTTGTGTATTGTTAATCGATGTTTTTAATTTGTTTTAACACCACTTGTTACTTACTCAAACCAATTAAGAAGAAAGGAAAAGTAGCAGATGGAGAGGAAAAGAAAATTTTTGCGCCATTCGGTCAGGTATAGACATATATCACGTGTGGAGCTCAGCAAAAGTCCGTAGAAGCTGCACACATACACACATACATACTTACACTGATTGTAGACTGTAATATGTTTGCTTTAGCTTTAATGACTAAAATTTTTACACAATAAATAAGTGCTATTGAGAAATATGCTAGCTATAGATACCTACCATCATAAGCCTTTTCCAGTCTCTTCTTGCCTCATTACAATCATAGTATACCCTGCATAGTTATCCCGATTTTGAGAGAGTTAGTAAGAAAATATTAGGTTGGTTACTCAATAGACTGAAAACCGTCGTACATAAACTGCTTGTTTTCTTCACATTTTCATGCAAGCATTATAATACATCAAAGAGTTTTGACGTAGAAGTTTCTTGCAGTATTTCAATTTAAAAAAGACTTCTAAAGTCTAGAAAAAACTCTAAATTTGCTATCTTCTTAACAGCTCACATTGCACGCAAAAAAGGCAGCCGAGGAAGCTTCAAAGAGTATGCACGAAGCGTCCAAGTCTGCTCTCGAGGCCAGCAAGACTGCCACAGCCGTCAGTAAGAACACGTTCGAAGATCTCACGTATGTTGGCAAATCCACTCTCGGAGACCTTACCAAAAGTGCGAAAGAAGCTGCCGCCAAAAAGGGATTACTGATGAAGGTAATTTAGTCTACCTGATGGTGTCGCCTTTTATTAGGATTTCAAATATTTAAGGATTGGGGAGAGATGTAGGGATAGAAGGAATGGGCCTCCGGTAACCATACTTACGTGTTGTGCGAAACACAATGCTGTTTATTTTTGTGAAGCTATGGTATCGTTTCAGTCAAGCCTACCCTTTCGTGCCAAAGCTTGGCTCTCGCACTCTTTGTATTTAATTTAATAACTCTTTCTGTATCTAATTATCTTAGTGGTAGTACTCATAAATTTTTATCATTATCATTTATTGCTATCATAGGGTGAAAGCCAAGACTCAAACGGCAGTGCCTCAGCTCGCCGCGACTCTACAGCGCTGCAGACCACTAATTTGCTGACGGCAACGCACCGTGACTTTTTCTCCAACATCAGTTCCGACCTCAATGGCCTGGCAGCGTCCACCTCCAGCATGTTCAGTGACTTCTTTGGTAATAAAGGTAAGATACCACCATTAGTTGGGGATGATTTACAAAGTATCAAATGGATGAACGATAGAAATTAATGAAAGGGGGAAAGTAGTCGTGGAACAACTCTGTGCGATCCACAAATTGTTGTTCTGGGTCTGGGCGTGATGTGTATGTGAAATTGTATGTTTGTAAACACAACCGCTGCACAGGGGTAAACCCTAGTGTAGGGCAAAGTTTAAAAAAAAAATCTGCATTTTTTTTCCAATTGATAACTCGAAACGTAAGTAAGTAAATAGGAGCAAGAATGTGTAAACATAACGTTCAATTACCAGGCGCCAAGCAGCCAAAGCCGGGCGAGCAAGGCCGCGGTGCGTCAGGTCCCGCGAGTACGGCAGGTGGGGGCGGCGGGGCTCCGCTGGCGGCCTCGTTCGGTCCGTTCTCGATGGGGGCGCGCGGCCTCGTGGCGCGCTCCCCACTCATCCGACACTCGGCACCCACGCCCCCGGTCGCGCCACCGCATTCACGCCCCTCTGCCAACACTGAAAACCAGGCTTTCCTCAATGATGTAAGTAACTATTTCACAATTATCGTCATTTAATTTCAAATTCGTTTAAAATGTTTGCACTTTTTCTATAATAAGTATCCTGTATAAATAAAGCAACCATTTGCTTATCACATCCTTAATTTCGATGACAGATTTTGATGTGTATGGAGTTGGCTAATACGAATACCTTAGTTCAAAGTGAGAACTTTAATATTGCAGTTAGTCCAACATGTGCTGGAAGGTGAGGGTGTGGGGTGGTTGAAACTGAACCGTCTGAAGAAGTTGATGGAAGATGAGTCCTACAGAAATATGGTGCTCAGCAAACTAAATAGGAACTTCAATAGGAAGACCACGCCCAACGACAAAGTTGATGATGTGGTAAGTGTTTTCAAAGCCTTAATAAGGTATTAGGCATTCTTTTGAGAAGACGTGATGCGATAAGCCTAAATGCTTATCTCAAATTAGGAAATAAATATAGTACCTACTGATTGATCTATACTAATATTATAAAGTGGTAAAATTTTTAAGTTTGTAGGTAGGGGTAATCTTTGGAATCGTTGGTCGGATTGCCAAAATTTTTTCACTGATTGCTACATAGGATATTAAACATCCCGCTACTATCAAATGGCACAGCGGCTGAAACCGCGTGAGAGTAGCTAGTTTATTATATTTTCTTGAAGAATGATGCCTCAAAATGTTTGAGTAGATAGAGATAAAATTACAACTGATTTTATCTCTATCTACTCAAACAGTTTAAGGGAATATTCACAATACAATTTTGTCCGTTAGTTCGTGAGCAAGCCGGTGTGGAAGGGAATGCTGAAGGTGTTGCAAGCTGTAGTGCATGGTCTGGAGCACACGTATTCTAACTTCGGCCTGGGGGGCATGGCCTCCGTGTTCCAACTAGCGGAGATGGCACACACCCACTACTGGAGCAAAGAAATCGCCGGCCTAGAGCATGGTGGCATGGCTGGCTCTGCACTAATGGAACATTATGGAAGACAAGACCTTGAAACACCATCTTCTTCGCCTTCGTCCAGAAAAAGCTCACAATCAGGTTAGTATTGAATTAGAATCAAACTGAATATTTCTCGAAAATCGACATAAAGGATATACAAAGATGGTTTATATAAAATAAAAAAAAAAATCGATAGAAATCAAACATCATATTTAAAAGTAAATAATAATTAATTTGTAAATTTAGATGTACCAGTAGTAAACTATCCAGAAATGGATTCATCTGAAGCTCAGAGCACCACGGAAATGTTCAAGGACATGCTGAACCAGAAGAGAAACTTACTCTTCAGCAAGTTGACGTCTTTCGAGTCGGATGTAAGTATTGCACCTATGTTCTGTGTAATACTAAATGTTGCGAAACTGTTGCATGTTCTTGTCGCTCCAAACTTATCTATGTGGAAACTGTAACTCAATGTCTATATCTAATTTCCTCCTGAAGATCTCCAGCATGACACCTGTACAATGGAGTAAGACCGCTTGAATTGATTGAACCCTGTACAAAGAAATCCTTATTGGTGTCTACTTATTTACTTTCCCATTGTTTTTATAAACATACGGCAACACTTTTTCCTTTGTGCTTAAAATGAATATCTATGTTGCTATATCTACTTACTTCCATTTTCAGATAAACATATTTATTTATATGATTTCAAAATTTGTTACACTTACACAGCGTTACTTCATTATTATTCTTATTGTGACCAAATGACTTTCTAAGGTAAATTATGAGAAAAAAGGTATGTTATATCCTGCATGGTTCGATGATAAGTTTAGGTAATTTAATATCTCGTACCTACCGTACTGTAATATAAATGTCGTAGAACAATATAACGAAATATTAGTAAACATGCTAGTTGGAGTTGTAAGCAAAATGTAACATGTTTCATGGCTATGACAAGAAGCACGCCACAAAGATCAACAGCCCTAAGTTTAGATTCTCAAAGTCATTTTAAAACTTGGAAATACTTATGTGTGTTTTGAGTGTTTGAATTAAAATTGATATTAATTTGTAAATCGATGCGCTGTTTATCTTGTGTGAGTCGAGATGAGACATGGTACAGGCGGGTTGTTTGTGTGCGTGACAGGCCCCTCCCTCGTCCGACTGCTCGGCCGACGAGAGCGGCTCCATCACCACCAACCGAGCCAATATCTACGACCACCGCGCCTCCTTTAAGTCCAACCTCTCTGACACTGACGTCATGTTCCTCAATGTAAGTCCTAGTGCCATTTGTAGTGACCCGTCTTAGTGTCTTAGATGTTAGCAGAGCTTGTACACTCAGATAAAACGACTAGCCGAACAATTGGAATAATTTACTCAAAATTTGCATCAACGGCTAGAGCTGCAGTAAATAGATTTGCATGATACATGTTTACTGTAGGCACTATACCTAAATAATAAAATGAGAATTACCATAGATATACTGTTTTTTATATTTCCATGGAATTAACTGTAGCACTTATCTGATCATATGATAAATAAATAGGTGGTAGTTTTTCGGTTTAAAAAATTAAATGCCCACATTTATAATGAAATACCTAATCTGTGTCATAAAAAATGCACAACCAAGAAATATTTTTTAAGGAAGATAGACCGCACAACTACACAACAACAAATCTAGCTCCTCACTAATTCGAACCAATGTTTTTGGCACTGCTTAGTAAACACATGGAGTACGAAGACAAAAACATCCATTTCTATTAAAACTGAATAATAAATGCATATGTCATCCTCACTTGGTTTCCATATTTGGCATATCAAAGTACCTATGACAACAAAAAAAATTTACATTAATTTTGGCCTCGTGGCGGTAGAGACGTTATTCCCGTCCTTCTTCTATACATCTTCCCGTCACTCCATTTGTTTACTTCTTTGTTATCGACGTATTGGTGTAGGTATGTACTTATAATGGCTATATGTGAGTGGTGTAATGTAGGTGAACCGTGGCACGGGTATGCAAGGGGCGGCCGGCAAGCCCCGCGCGGCGAGTGTCTTTTCCTCCAAATCCTCAGTGAGCGGGTACCGGCCTCCTGTCGGCGTGCCCGTCACCTCGCCTATCACTTCGCCTGACACCACGCGGACATACCTCTATCAGGGTCTCATTGGTAATATAATCAGATTCCTACAATGATAATTACTTACTTATGCAAAATGCGAAATTTTAGTAAAAAAATATACGTATTTGAAATACCTACGTTTGGTTTTTACTTTTTAGATACTTTTAAGATTTCATTCTACAAAAAAATGGTTAGTTGAGTCATGCAAACCTATTCAGTCAACATTAAAATTAAGATTTGCATAAATGCTAAGACTTCTTGTGACAAATCTGTTTACCAATTTGTAATTGTCAACTGTGCCTGGTGAGTCACAGTTTCGACTTTTCTTCTTCAGATCATACATGTTGAAATTCTAGGCTCACAACTATTATAATATAATAGTTTATAGGTGTAAAATGTTTGAATTATATTTTGTTTCTGAATTCAAGGTAAGGAGAGATCGAATCTTTGGGATCAAATGCAGTTCTGGGAGGACGCGTTTTTGGACGCGGTGAGTCAGGAACGCGATATGATCGGCATGGACCAGGGCGCCAACGAGATGATGGAGCGCTACAAGTGCCTGAGCGAGACGGAGCGCAAGCGGCTGGAGCACGAGGAGGACAGACTGCTGTCGACGGCGCTGTACAACCTGACGGCCGCCATGGTGCTGCTGGGCGGGGAGCCCGACGTAGTGCGCAACAAGGTGCGCAGACTGCTCGCCAAGAGCCACATCGGCCTCGTATACAGCCAGGAGGTCAACCATCTGCTCGATGTCGTGCATACACTGGTGAGATTATATACTGTTTTTTGTACTTAGTCAAACAACAAGAACTTTACTATTTGATTTTTTTAATTTGATTCTTTATATATGTTACGGCTAAAGGTAGGTGTGAACGTAAACTTAAGATTAGCCGGCTAAACCTAGGTTTATCTTCGATGAAATGTTAATGTTAGTTTGTTCTATCTTTAGCCGGCTAAACTTAGGTGTAGCTCCAGGTCCTTGGCTAAAAATGTAGAAGGAAATGGAAAAGGAAACAATGTAATAATGTTTACTATTTTGACACGAAAACTTTATTAAAAAATAATCACTTTCTTTACACATACTTTTATGTACTATGTAGGTATTCAAAGTAACAATTATTACAATTACAAAATTTTAATTGTTTTTTTTTGACATTCACGCCAATAACCTAGTACCAAACTAAGCAAAGCTTGTACTATGGATACTAGATAACGGATAAACATACATAAATATGATAAACATCCATGACTCGGGTACAAATATTCGTGCTCATCACACAAACATCTACCCCTAGCGGGATTCGAACCCGCGACCGTTTGGTCTTGTGACTAGCGTTACTAACCACTAGACCAAACGTGTCGTCGTTAAAACAATATTAACCTAATCATTAAAATAAAATAATAAGGAACCATTTGGTCATTACAGAATCTTCTGTAGGTAAGTACTTACGGCGCGCCTATCGAATACATTTTTTGCCGTTTCGTTTCGGTTAATGTGCACATTAACCGGCTAAAGATGGAATATCACGACGCAAACTAACATGTTATCGAACTTTAGCTGCTTCTCGAAGATAAACCTAAGTTTAGCCGGCTAATCTTAAGTTTACGTTCACACCGACCTTTAGCCGTAACATATACAATAAATGGTAGGTGATATGCAGCAATTTTGGCAGTTACGGGAAGTAGAGGTGTAAATCAATTCAAAGTTACATACCTAAATACTAAATGTCTGTTCTTTTATTATTTTGATCACGGAGTAAGAACAAAGAGGAGACGGCCTAAACAACTCGGCCCTGTGACACAAGTCGGCCCTCACGTCATCAATGTGGGCGTGGCTTACGTCATTGTAATGTGGTCGTTCGTCCTGTGCACAACTCCCTGTGACAACTCCTATAAAATATTCATTTTACTCGTGACAGAAGAAAACAAAATGAAGTCTTGTGTTTTATCTTGTAAAAAATACTATGATAAACGTTACGATGCTATGCATGGCATCACTTTTCATGTATAAGTTATTTTATTCGTCATTTATTAAAATAGTTCTAGCAAGGTCTCTTATTGTCAGCGTTTCCAATTATCAATCTACGCGACACTAGATGTCGACACTTTGTGTCATAGAAACAAAATTTTTATAGGTACGCATAGTTCAGTATCAGTATATTTTAATGATCGTTTGTATAGTAATTTGATCGACATGCATTCCTAAAGATCCTTTAATCGCCAAAATATATTTTATGTAACTGTTATATCATTTTATAAACAGACAGCCATCTATTGTCAAGTAGTAAAACATAAATAAAGACAGGGCAGTAATTAGGAGTCAATTACTTTTTAAGGTTTATAGGTATCGTTGATTTATTTAAGTCGCGAATGGAATCACTCAAATTTAGCGCACCTCATCGCACGCTGTGAGTGCTAAATCTTAGTGCCTGAGTGTTTGAAACTGAACGACCTTATTCTTCTAAAGTTCCTCTTCGGTTTTTATTTCGACCCCAAATTAAAGGCATCAGGACTTGGATCATACAACTCAGATATGTATCGCCGAGAATAGGTGTAAACCTATGAAATGCCCACAACATACTCACTCTGTCCTTCGTACATATCTTTTTGTTCCATTGTTCGTTTATTTCGAAATATGTCGTCACATTAGGGCAGGTTTTGTTCGTTTTTCATGGTAAATAGTACCTATGACAGTCGTGAAGATAATTAGGATGTGTTATATATGAAGAATCTGGCGGTATTATTAACTTTGGAATAGCATTTAACATACCACTAGTTAATTAGATGTAATGTTCGTTATTGTTCCAAAATATTGTTGAGTTATTGTTTTGTGTTTTTATGATCCAAAATATTGTTGAGGTAAAACCGGCGAACCTGTAATGCAAATTAAGACGATTGCTGTTACATTATTAGAAGGTGCTAGGACCGCACACTCTTCATTAGCATTGCTATTGAATGTACAGGTGATTTAAAGTGCAACTTGTAATATTTCGAGAAATTCTGCTATGGCAAAAGTTTTGCAACTAACGTCAATTATTTTACGGGATGCACTCATACAATGGCGAATAAAAAATCAATAGAAGCATTTAATCGAACCATGCAAAATTTACGCGGTACTCAACAGGTTTTTCGTGGTTCTGATATTGCTGTCAGGGGGCTTTCGTCAAACATTGCCTGTCATTCCTCGATCAACTCCTGCTGATGAAAAACCTGTTTGAAGTCATCAGTTATTTGGAGATATATACGAAAATTGACACTGAACTTTAGTAATAATGCGTATTCAGCTACGTAATGATGCAACTGCCCATGAGTTTTCAAAACAATTATTAGAAACTAGCTTTTGCCCGCGACTTTGTTTGCTTGGAATAGTGACTTCCTGTAGATTTTGGGTTTAAAAACTATCCTATGTCCTTTCTCGAGTTCCAAACTATGTCTGTACCAAATTTCACTCAAATAGGTTCAGTAGTTTAGGCGTAAAGAAAAGACAGACAGACTTACTTTTGCATTTATAATATTAGTTTGGATTGGTGATGGCAAAATACCTATTGACAGTACCGACGGATCGGTCATTTTACCGAATATTTTTTATACAATTGCGCAATCTATAGATGAGTTGATTGAATGTGTTTTTCCGAATATTCTTCAGAATTGCAGAAATGATTACCTAGTTCATAGAACACACTATCAGACAATAGCACCAAAGAACATTTATATCAATGCCATTAATTTTCAATAATATATCTTTTGACTCGTTTAGAGTTTTACATAGCAAACGATAACATTTTTTTTTTTTTGTTAAATGAACATGATAATATATTTTTGATTATATTTTATGATATACTTGAACGTTGTGAAGCACGTACTGGGCCGCTAGTAGTTTTATCGTAGATAGAGGCCTTGTCCCTTCAAGACCTATGAAGATACACTTGGAGTCTTTTATTTCGTCGACGCATCCCTGAATCGTATGTTTGAAGATGGCACCAGTCTAAACGCATAATAATATGCCGTTCCAAGTTACACATTAGTAAAGTAATGGCATACCTATCTAATAATAACACTCGTTATCACAAAGAACCAGCTATCAGCAGGGCATCAGCCTCTTGGTAGCATTGTATACGAGTTTCTGCTTCAGGCTAGGCCCGCAACGAAATAACCCCTTTTAAATGAAAAAAATGGTTTTGATAAATGTATAATGATTCTCATTCACCAATAATAGATATTTTAGATATTTATTAATATTTCGATAAAAATATGCGTATCAAGATGATTCGCAAATGTATTTACAAAAAACTTTTTAAAACAACTCCCCGGTAAGTTCTAAGTACGACCCTGTTGCGTCAGTGACATCTATTGTGAAATAGTTACATAACTACAAAAAGAAGTAAATTGAATGAGCGAGTAGTATTGCTATAGACCGGCAGATGGCAAATAAAAAAGTGGGCGGAGTCTAATACCCCCTCACCCCGCAAAATATCACGCGGTGTTTCTTAGGGAAATCTTATTATGACATCTCCTCTTTGTTCTTACTCCGTGATTTTGATATTTTTTGCAAGGTTTAAAGACATTTGTCATTATGCTAAAAAGGCCCAAATAATAAAAAAATGATAAAGATGTTACAAGTGTAATATAATGTGGTATAATATCGCAGCATGGCAACGACATAGAGCTGAAGCCGCTGGGGTCCCGGCTACTACGGCGCGCCTCGTTCACGGTGCACGAGGGTGACGCGGCCGGCGAACTGCGCTTTATGGAGGTGCGGGACGACGGCCTCATCTTACGATCCACACAAGGTACCTATACTTATTCACTATTCTTTACTTCAGAAGACATATACTTTCCTCCTCCTTCCAATCGTTTATATAAAATCAGAAATTTTAGTTTTGTACTCACTAGATGGCGCCTGTGAGGCTTTAGGCGCTTTTTAATTTTAAGATTCGTCTTATTTCTATCTTTCTTCATAATATTTTTAGTGGTTGTAAACTTCTATTGTCAGCTATAAATCTGCAACTATTGAACAATAATTCCAGGTACTATCGTGGAGAGGTGGTGGTATGAGAGACTGGTCAACATGACGTACAGTCCGAAAATACGAGTATTGTGCCTTTGGAGGAAGAACGGGGGCCAGACGCAACTACACAAATACTACACGAAAAAGGTTCGTGATCATTCAGCTTTAAAAGACGGTATAGCTTATCGCCAGTTAAAAAATCGTCAGCTACCGGGGTTGCGGGGTAAGAGCAATAAGGCAATGCTGCCTCGGCCTAGAGCAGGAGAAGAAATAGGGTTTTAGTCAGTAGGAGTCTGACTATCCCTTTCGCCTCGCTCTGAGCGGGTCATTTGATGATTTTCCGCAAAATTAACAAAGAATCTTTAGCATTAATCCCCAGATTCACGTTACATTGCATCTAAAACTGAGCAATTACGACTTAGTTGTATATTGTTTGAGATTACCGGAGTTTGTTTTGAGGTTACCGGATGCCCAATACTTCCCCGCCCCCAATCCCTCCTCAATCCCTAAATCTCCAAATCCCTAATCCCTAAAAGGTCGGCAACGCACTCGTAACTCCTCCGTAGCGGGCGTCCATGGGCGGCGCTGATTGCTTACCATCAGGTAATCCGTCTGCTCGTTTGCCGACCAATTACATAAAAAAAAAAATATTGAAATAGGTGACAAATTTAATTTTATATTGTGAATGCGTAATTGAAATACTATCTTATAATTATTACAGTGCAAAGCGTTGTACTACTGTATCAAGGAAGCTATGGAGAAGAGTGGAAGGCGACAGGACGCGGCTGAGCTTGGGGGGGAGTTCCCCATACAAGACTGCGCTACAGGGGAGGGGGGGCTGATACAGGTGACTTATCATCATCGCATATCGTCGCTCGCATCAGTTGACTTAAAATTTTGCAATTTACTGTACATTAGACGCTGTGCAACATGCCGTGGGTTCAAATCCCGAACGATGCTATTCTTTATATAGCTTTTGTGGTCTTCAAAATTGTTGTACCTGGTATGGGTGTGTTGTGGAGATATTATGGAAAATCTGAGATTTTAAGAAAAAAAATATATTTTCCAAGCTACATATTCTATAGAATTGACAATACAATAACTACTAAATATGAGTTACACTAATAAGTCTGACTTGTAAAGGTTTGCATGGAAGGCGTCGGACTCCTGTTCCACCACAGCAAGGTACGTACCTACGCTTCGTTTGTGTGTACGTTTATTTTTGTCAGCTTGTTTATGTTATTAAAATTATAAGTTATCGAAATGATGTGCCAAAACTTTAAACTAAGCATTGATACAATTGGTTTTGGTATAATCATATAAGTTTGGCCAGGTAAGGTATCTGTCAATGTTCATGCTTGATTTGGAAAAAGATTCTATACAAGTGAGTGAATTTTTCATATAGAGTGTGGTACGACCGCGCTGTACCACATTCTATACCTCTACCATCAGCGTCCGCGCTGCCAATGCTTCATTGTATCAATATTGTATCGGTGCCGTTCGCGCGTTGTTATTATCGTACCGTATATGAAGCTTCTCTATCCAACAAGACAAGTCTACCTTCTATCAGTAAACAGGCACAAAAGAATACTACTTAATTTATTAATTGATAATACAGTAAACAAGTTTAGTTATATTTTCAGTCGATGCCCCACATAATACCTAGTTTTAAAGCTCTCATCCTCATAAAACTTATCCGGACGCAAGGACCACTCAAACTTTCCTATTTGGATTTCTCTTCGATTTTTTCTCTTAATATTTTTATCATACTATATTTATATAATAAACCTATATCTTATTTATTTTATTTGATATTCAGGTGATTTTGCATTTACTAATTCCGTATTATTGTCGACAAAGCTTAGGTCTAATTAAGACCCAGTATTTTGCCCTTAAAATATCCTTATCTACTATTCGATGTAATAGTTTAGATTATTTTTTTACATTTAAGACTAACCGTTGTCCATCTGATATACGTTCTTATACTCCATACGACTTGTGCATGTGCTATTTGTCTGCAATCCCCGTACATCGCTGGAGTGCGTGGGCGCCGCTGAGCTCTCGCTAGGAACTTTTGAGATGGTCCTTGACACGCGCTCGGCCGCCAACTAATCTCATCTTTTTGTCTGTTTTACTCTCTCCGGACACGCCGAACACGCGCCGCTGCGCAAAAGGATTTCGAGGTACACAGTGGTTCATTCATAGTAATGGCTGGCTCTTACGATGATCGACACGACCTTTACGACCTTTAAGATTTAGTCACGGTCACCGTGAGAATCGCACCTAGCGATGATCGTTCGAGGTCGTAGGGCTTTACTTGTAGTTTTGAGGCTTACAGATTGTTTTTAGCCGTTGTTAGCGTTGTATTAGTTCTCCCGAGTGCGGCGAGCGCCGAAGCGCGCAGTCGTGCATGCACATAGACGCCCTTTGTTTATTATCTGTTTATATTAACGCACCCGACAGCTTGCATTCGTATCGTGGATCGTCCGGCGAGCGGTCTCGATTTTTCGCTCTCGCACTAAGTGCCGAGATTTAGTTCGTACGTCCCCTAATCACCCGGAACCATAGCGAGCGTCCCGTCAGCGCTAAAGCTTAACGGACGCGAGTCACGAGGTCAGTCGTAGAGCATTCGCCATCTCACAAGTTCCGGTGCGGCCGCACCCGCACCCGCTCCCTCCCGCACGCACCTGACCTCGCACACCTCGCACCCTCGCACACTGCACTCCTGCCTCCCGCCCTCGCCCTCGCCCTCGCCCCCCACTCCTTACCCTCGCTCTCTGCTCGATGTCTCACCTGCAAAAACTAAATCATGCCATTCTCATCCCGAAATCCGATGATTCGCGGGATCGGACTGGACTTGAAATAATTTCATTTTCAGGGTAAACTTTCATAAAGTGGCATGTATATGGTTTTTGCACTCGGAAAATTAACGATACACTAACCGATGAACGATAGACAAGAGCGGGTTGTTATAATTATGACGTTAGTGTATTGAGCTCCAAACCTCGGATGCATGTACTTGCATGTTTATTTTTTGTTTTTGCGCTGTAATTAGGTACTAAGGGAAAAAATAAATAAGCAGGTAAAAAACTGCCAGTATTTCTATATTGACTTTTTTTGGAACAAAGTTTTGAGGGAACTACTACATATAAATACTGATATTTTTTTACTATAAGCATTTTTATATTATCTTGTGTGTGTAGATAATGCTTTCATTTTACGTAGATGTTATAAAGCATGACTACGTAATTTAATATCTAAGTGTTTGTAGATGTGTAAAATTAAGCAAATGATTTCCCGGGAATATATTTACTTAATTAGATTTTGTTTCAATATAACTGAATGTTATTTCACTGGTGGTACCTACTCAACTCACCAACCTATTAACTTTTTTATTTTTTCGAGTTTTTTGCACAATAACTATAGTTGTAGGCAGAATGCTGAAACGCTACGATACTGAGTACTGAGTGATAGGTACTATAGATTATTCACAATAATAAGGCAATTAAAGACGCTTTTAGGTAATGTTAGGTTTGAGATCAGACGAGAATAACTAATTTGTAAGTACTAATGTATAACAAAAGAGGATGCAAACAAAGTTATATTTTTTTAAAGGCAGTAAATATATTCTTAAAGATTACACTATTCATTCACTGCCACTGATAACTTATTGCCACATTTAATTTGAATATTTGCATCGTCAAATTTTCGCTCATTTAGGTAAACTAAAAATAATTTAAACAGAATTGATGGAAGTAGTTACCTACGTGTTGCTACCATCATCTAGTCTCGTTTGATCTCGACCTAATGCTGCAATCAATGTGCGCACGTCTGTTACGACCTATATTTACATTCATCAAACAGAATATTGTAAAATAACCTTTAAAACGTCCGTGTTACAGTTTTTCGTGCGGCTGGATCACATTAGAAAATGCTTCACGCAGAACGGCGGTATCTTCGTTTTAGAAGAATTCAGTAAGTATAATCCAATTTTGGATATATATAGGTATATATATATAGGTTAACCGGTTTTAAAATAATTTAAAGTCAAATAATTTGTTTCAAATACACCTCTATAGGTAAGCACTTCTGAATGTCTGAAAAAAGTAATATCAATAAGTTAAACTTTGTGTTTCCGTTGGTCTGTCCTCTAGTGAGGCTATTTGCTCGTTCCAAAGTGTAGATTCCAATGGAAAAGAACGTTAAGAAACTGCATTTATCAATCAAGTCACCTACTGGTAGACCTATTAACAATATTTATTTTTTACAGATCCAAAAACACGGCAGATTATTCAAAGGAAATATAAGTCTGTAATGGTAAGTACTTATTTATGAAAACGGTTTTTATAAAAAGTTATTTGTTTTTTTTTTATTATGTTTTTTATGTTATGTTGTAGGCAGAAAAAGTAGTGTTTGATCTTCATCGTTTCTTCTCCTTGTGGCTTTCACGTTATTTTGTCGAGAGCAGCGGACATGAATTGAATTATACACCCTGTGTTTCATAGCTCTTACCCTACCCCTAGCCAGTGATGTATGTAAACCAGTGTTGTTTTTTGCTTTGTTCGTGTAGGTAAGTTCATTTGTTCATTTCCTACATGCATGCTTTCTACTCACATTATGCTTTTAAATCGAATAAAAGTATTTATCTCTCACCTTATCAATAATACTTAAGGGTGCAGATTTGAATTCTAAGCAAAATTAAGCTTTTAAAATACATACCTATCAATAACTATCAATTTAAATAGACACCTTATAGAAGTAACAAAAAAGGTACGTATTCGATTTTCATTAACCAATTAATTCAGAAGGTGCTTTAATTTTGACACTTACTTATCTCAAATATCAACAATGGTACCTATAGATATTCTGAGTACTTACTTTAATAACGAAGCTTATTTTATACCAGATCTGAAAGCATTTTAAACGGTTAAAAAGTGTTAAAATTAATTTAAATTGTCTAAATTACAGGCGGACCAAATTTGCTACGCAGTACTATGTGTGTTTTCTTACTTTGCGGCGGGTCAAGAGCAAAAGAAAGCGATCTTAGAGCAAGCAGCTCGTGTACCACCAGCTAGCCACGATACGCTCGCACCCACCAGCCCGGTACCCGACACCGACGCCCGCAGGAGAACCAGCCCGCAGGTTTGTTTCATTACAACTTAACACATCATGTATTCCCCGAAGGGGTCCTTATTTTAAGTTAAGTAAGTAAATGTTAAATCATGCAACATACCACAGGTAGAGAAACGATCACCCGTCAAACGAACTAGCGAGGCAAGGTCTCCGGTTGGAAAGACAGAGGCTACCGTCTCTAGAGAAATGGCAGAGCGGCAACAGGCTCGCGGACCTCCAGCTGTCAGCTCGCCAGCGCCAGCAGAGCGGGTCGGGGTCGAGCGGGTCGCCGGGCGCGGCGTGGAGCGCACCGAGAGCCTGCCGCCGCCGCGCCGCCCGCCGCCGCCCGCGCTGCCGCCAGCCGGGACCGCGCCCCCGCCCGGCGCCGCGCATCCGCCGGCCTCCGCGCCCTCGCCAGGCCCCGCGCTCCCCGCCACACCCGCGCCACCACACCAGCGACTGGCTCGAGCGCATTCTCACGCCGCACCCGCACGCCCCCCTGATCCGCCTCTTGTGAGTTTTTCACGTCTTAATGTCATCTTCAACGTAAATTAATTCTTATACTGCGTTGCAAAGTATTTTCTTCGAGTAATACCTTCTGAAACTAAGTGTAGCTTTTTCAGTAATTACTGTACCTACCTACAGTGTGCATAATCTTCAATAAAGTGTAAGTCATAAGAAACTGTTTTTCAGATTCCACCCCGTGTTGGGACGACAGGAACGAGGCCGATAGGTCCCCCGCCAGCTCTGCCGCCGCGACAACTGTCTGCGGCAGCGGACGTCGGCACTGCACCGAGGTGAGGAATCATGGTGCAAGGTGGAACGTCGTCGGCCGAACCGCCCTGATGTGCTGTAAAGTATTAGGAGAGAATAGTCCGGGCCGAGGTGAGAAGGCTGACCACGCTGACGCTTGTCGCAGAGGTGCGGGCGGGGCGAGCGGGGCTGGCGGGGCGAGCGGGACGAGCGGTACGAGCGGGACGGGCGCGGCGGGCGGGGCGGGCGCGGCGCGGCGCGGGCCGCCGGTGCGGCAGGGCTCGGTGTCGGCGCCGTTCGCGTCCTCGAACCCGTTCACGTCGGCGCGCCACGCCGAGTTTGTCATCCCGCAGCGTAACAACGTGCGCCGGTCCTCCACCGACAGAAGCTAGTTGTAATTGCATCTGTGACGCCGAATGTTTGTTCTTAGAAGTGTATCCCTACTACATACAAACTCACCCCTCCCTGTTCGATATTAGACAGTAGCCGTTCTTGTGTAACTTACTGTAAAGTGTTGTCAAAAAGTAGAGCTTTGAAAACGACATTAAAGTTATCCGTCACAAAGCAATAATATCTTGTGGATTTTGTAAATAGTGTCCTTATACCTAGACCCACGCAAGCAGTGAATTGGGCAAGAAATCGCTGGGAGATGTACATACAAACTTACAATGATTATGCATTTAGTATATGCATAATATAATATGCTGCTTATGGAAGCTGATATTGTTATAATCTTTTAAAAGCACACAGAATGAGAATCTTTCTCTGTAAAAATAATAAAAGGTTTCTATTCCTTTTTCTTTATTTCTATTTATGTATAAAATGAAAATTATCCATTTTCGTAAAATTTAAAATTTTATTATTCTCTTATATTTATTATGTTAGAAGTTATTCAAACATTTTATTACATAGCAAAGGAAAAAGGGTCAAATTTAACTCGTAATTTCACGAAATACCTATTTATCCAGATATTTTTTTAACAATAAAAAAAGCGTTGAGGGATTTTGCTGAATTTCATTTGTGGAAAATTAAATAATATTTTTATAGCTTAACATATCGATTAAAGTCAGGGTTGCTAATGTAGAATATTGTATCTTTTGAATAATATTTAACAAGATTAATTGATATTTGAGTTTACTGTACTTATTATTTCTTGTTTAGATATGTATTATTTCATTACAAAATGACATTTTTATAAAATAATTATTTAAATTATATAATTCTCATTATTTTTTGTATTTAAAAAAAATGATTTTGTTATGCTTTAATTATGATAATTTAGCGATTACAAACATAGACAAGTTACGTATTGAATAGTAATCACATTAATCACATTCACTATAGGATTTCTTCTGTTTCACTGTTGCTGTGAGTTTCAGGTAATACCAACAAACATATGCTTAGAAAAAATATATGGAAAGGAATTAAGTTTGCTTTTGAAATCGGACCTGTAGATCTGTGGTGTGTACTTAAAATTCTTGTTATTCTCGTCACTTATTTTGTTCTATATATATAATATCCAGTATTCATGTTCCTACGCTATAAATGTTATGCTGTTACAAAGTTGATCGAAAATATTTATGAACCCAATTTCTGCTGAAAGGTAGATACTGAAATGTTTGTAATATTACGTAACTACCGAAATGAGGTTTAATTATTATTTTATGCCAAAAATAAATAAAAGTATCTTATAAAACATCTTTTATTTCCGTCCAAACCAAAGGATAGTCCTTTTACAAAGTAGGGTAGAAACAGAGGTCTTTTCACAATCGTATTTGGTTTATTATAATTTAAATATATCCGTAAGAAAAGGAATTAATGATTGCCTAATAATCGGCCTGTATCAGTTGATAGAAAATAGTGTTTTACTTGTTTTTAACATACCTATTAAAACATGAATATGAAATCATGAAAAAAGGAAATATTTAATTTGAAAAGACTAACATATTCTTAAACTCTCAGTCCTTGAGCAGATCAAAGAACGTATTTGAGATCAGCAGTCAAGGAATGAAATTTCTGGAAAACACTACGCAACTACTTAGGTAGATTTTTTAACCATACTTAACAAACTATACGAAACTAAGTAAATATTGAATCATTACACATATAATTACATCAGACTTTCAAAAAATAAAAGTTACTCCTTTATTGCAAGGTGTTGATTTCGTAATATCACAGATACTTGTTTTTAGCGACAACAAAAAGCTATATTGAAGCCCGTACTCTAGAATTGCTTGATTAATTATTGAAAACTCTAATAGGTACACTTAATAAGTAATTGCTTGTGAAGCCGAAGCTTGCTAGAATAATAACAGAATATGGGCCTTATTTAGCTGTTTTACAATTAAATGTCTTAACTAAACACATGACACACTAACATTACATTATTACCAACTACTTATTTATATGTTCACGAAAGTATTTCTATTTAAGATTTTGACTAACAACACATACATACACATTTCACAAGCCAATCGATAAAATCTATAAATAGGTATTTAAAATCTTAACATTCGGTAGCTAAGTATTTACATAGTTGAGAACAGTTAGCTAATTTATATTTGAGGAAGGTATTGTACTATAGATATACAAGATATAGATAAAAGTACGGTCGTAGAGCACGAATATTTTGCCCTGGGGCATGCCAACCATTGCAAATGGAGATCAAAGCAAATCATAAACGGCAGAATCTACAAATCCTTTATAATAAACTTACTACTTACTTACGTACTTTAATAAACATGAGTGGCGTAATAGAGGTGGAAATGAAGAAAGGTTGAAAATAATGGTGACACTCCCATTGAGTATTGAATTATGGAACACACCCAAGATTGGGCAAGCACAATAAATAAGCGCGGCTTCGTCCCAGAGTAATAGAAGGGACGGGGTCTTTTTGATCAGTAAAGTGTTAAATTCCACTCACTTCGCCCAAGGCGAGCAAAAATATAAAGGCAACGACATTTTCCTATAAAAGAGAAAGGAGTTTAAGAGAGGATGCTATGTTAGAGAAGAATGAAAAAAAATATATACAGTCGGCTCAAAGTCTATCCAAGTACTTGGGGGTAAAAACATGAATGGGTCTAATTGTAAAATTAGCTAAACGAACCCAGAGCCCTACCTCACGTCTTTAGCAAAGGTGATGTCTACAACGTGTTGAGTGATTCAAGGGCTGATTTTTCAATAGTTATATAAATGTTATCTGGGGAATAAAATTGTTGCTGTCGCTGACTTATACAAACATTCTGACGCGACAGCATCATAATTATTCCCCAGATAACTTTTATCTAACCATTGAAAAATCAGCACTAAGTCAAGTAAGTATCAGTCAGCACAACAACCTCAATTCACATAAAAAGAGCTGTCCGTCTTCAAAAAAGGAGGAGGTTCTCAATTCGACGCGTATTTTTTTACAAGTAGATATGTAGGTACATCAACAATCGTAATCCCAGTCAAGGTCCGAAATTTTCGTGCTCTGTTACAATTTCTTACAGAAAAAATAAGTTACGTTGGAAAATTATCATTCATTTTGCCTTATTACTCCTTCTTAGTCCTTCATGCCAAGATTTGATAAATTTTAAAAAGTTCGTCAGGTACACACATTGCTTTAAATATATTCGGTAAACAAGTGACAACAGGTAGATACCTACTATCCTCTTAAAACTGAATCAGACAATATGATCAGGATCGATTTCTCAAGATGGTTAAAGGTGGTAAAATTAAGAACTACACATCGATTTAAAATATAGAACATACAATTATTTAAGTATTTAGACTTTAAATGTAACGTCGATGGTACTTACCTATTTAAATGGTCTGTCAAGTCAAAGGCAAACAACATATTCTGGTATTTTATTAAAGGAAGTTGGCAATAATTTGATTTTAGTTTTCCAAATAACAAAATAGGTAAGTACTTGCAACGTCGATGATATCAAGTAACAATCAGTCAATGTATTTATTAAGTAAGTGCAACAGCTTATACAAATATCCACGTCAATATATTATTGGTGCTGTTCTTGTGATGTTTGACGTTTTTCTACTTTTCCTGGCTGCAGACGAACCTAAGGAAAACAAAAATATCGAAGATATTATTATGATTCAAGTACGTACTTAGTTATCAAGCACTTGAATGTTTCATCAATGATTAACACCGCCGCCATAGCAAATTACAAAAACAAACCTACCATATAAATTAAATGCCTAACAATTAGTAGATAGTCATGTTAGATAATGCCCCATGAATATGAAAAAAGCAACATACTTTTCCACGCCTTGAGTTAGTAACTTGGTTAGTAAAAGCAAATTAGATAAAATGGATTTGCGGCTCCACCACCCTTTAGACATTTGATATTGCGCGAAAATAGATAAGTTCAATATATATAGAAATAATTACCTGAATAAAATGAAAACGCGAATATTTTCAAGTCTATTTTAGAAAAAATACTTATATAACCTTAAAGTCGTTTACTGTCCTCGGGCAAGTGAAAATGGGACTTTAGTCGAATACAATTTTATTGATAAGAGTTACCCCAGTTCGTAATACCTTCTTTAAGTCATCAACGGTCAAAAGTCTATGTGTGCGTGTGAGTAAACGAGAGGCCTCAAGCGGTCAGTTATTTTTAAGACACTAGGTGCATTACAGCACGTCCTCTTTTGGCAAAGGTGCGCTGTGACGCACACATTGCCCTGATTTGGACGCATCGTCATTATTCATCAGAGATGAACGTAATTACGTGACGAATAATCACGAAATCTTTTTAGATTTGAATAAGAAATTTGAAGAAGCTGTTTTTATTAGATTAGATAAACTGTTTGCTTTTTAAAATTGAATACATGATCTAAGGCACGTCCTAGGTACCTACTAGGTAGGTAGGCCATCGCTATAGTCGGACTGTTTTGTTGCATATCCAGACAGCTGGTGCAACTGCAAGCAACTGGTAGCGAGCACAGATGTAAAAGTTTTATAAAAACCAATATACCAAATGTCTAAAAAGCACCACTTTCACCAACATCGGAAAAATATATGAAGTAGTTGTTACAAAAGGGTCCACCGGTCACCGCTATTTATTGTTATGATTGAATAGCTACCTTGTCTATATCACTGGCGGATTTCGACATTTCGTTTTTGCTTTTCATTTGATTTTTTGAATACGTTTTTATGTTTTTCTTTTCTTTTTTTAACGTATCACTTGTGTGTATCAGTCCTTCTTGTGTAAGTATCTGAGAAGAATAATATATTATAATTTACAGGTTATTAGTGTATCTATTATCTACCTTCCCTTTCATACAAAGAAAACTCCTCTCGCTTGGAAGATCGAAGATATGGACATGACACATGACTTATGACGACCACATTAGATTCGCCAGCGTTAGTGGCCATTGGATGCCATGAGCAAATTGTCGTTTGGAGTTAAGGGGAAACATTGCACCAGTGAAAGTAATGATAATAACATAATACTTAGACAGAAGATATAGTATTATACCTATGTAACATTTACAACTGAGAGCTATTCCAGTTCCATAATAGGTACTGCTGGGAATTAATCAAACCAAACCTATATCCAACTCGGTAACTGGAAGAAACTCTAGTAGACAGACAGGTCTAATTTAAATGAAAATCTAAAATGGTAATCAAGTAAGTATCTTTTTAATTTGGAAGGGCATAAACCTACCATTAAACACTTGAACCTGTTTTTATGATATTAAATAGATATAGTATAATTTCGGGAGTCTATCAAATTTGGACGGTGGTAAATTCTGATTAACCACTGCAAAAAACACCATTACATAGGTGCTCTAATTCCCAAATGAAATCCTTGTATGTTTTTACTAAAACTAACTTCACGAAATAGGTAGCTAATATATAATTCCATTCATTTCTGTCCTATGCCCATACTTTACTTGTTCTATATGAAATACATATTAAATGTCAAGTCTTAGGTACATATATACATTGAATACGGTGCCCATCTAAATTCAGCGTATTTTATTCTAATAATATTATTTTGTACTTACATAGTCCGGGTACAAATGTTCAGGATTGATTTCTTGTCCTTTCAACTGGCTGTTGGACTCGTTGATTTTCCACTCCAAGTCAACAAGAGGACTATTTATCCTTTTGCATAGCTCCCTAAAACGCATATGACTATTAATACAGCGAAATAAGTACCTAATTGTGTATGCCTTCACAGGATTTTTACGTCTGCAATCTAAACTTGCGTAAGACATAGAACGCAATTACGTAAAAATCTGATCCCCACAAAACTATACATACCTAATAAAAAAAGAAAAACATCGGTTTTTCAGTTACCCTTATTCATTTGTTTACTTTTTTAAAGTCTTGAAAAGAAAATCTTTGAAAGTGATGGGCACTTTCAAAGATTTTCTTTGTTTTCAATATGTATCGCAATATTTTGTTCTACAAAATTAAACAGACGATGATTACACTTGCTGCATAGGCGCCTATAATGCAGTGACCCGTACAGAATCTCAGACATCTTCGTAAAACGTTATTTTGGTAACATAAATTCAAATAATGATGTGTTACTTACATATTGAGCCTTGTGAAAGCTTCATCTTCAGGGTAAAAGTCTGAAAATTCGGAATCTGGTATTTTAAAACTGATCAAATTTTCTGAATTTTTTATTCCAGCTATCCAGCCCAAATTTGGAATGCTTGTACATTCAATCCATATATCTGACCAAAAATTGCAGTTTTCTGTAGGAGCGGTATTATCGTTTTCTTCATCAGAAATTATGCAAACATCGTCTGAAGGAGAGAAAATATTATTTGTGCTGGATTCTAATAAGCTGTGGTTTTGGGTTTCCTTGTAAATTGTACACTCTTCTCTGGAAGGCATTTCAGTTATCAACTTATTATTGATTAGTTTTCTATTGATTTCTTCAGGTTTTAAGATAAACATGCCTCTTTCAGGTCTGGTACTTGTGGGTGATTTTGTTGAAAATACAGATGATATCTTTATTTGTGATACAGCTTCTGGCATTGAAACTTGTGATGTTTCTGGCTTAAGATTACGAGTGCAGTCATTAGCAAATAGGTTAGGTTTTAATAAAGATCCATTATTTTCCTCAGTATTTATTACAATGGGTACTGCTTTGGAGCTAGGTTCATTTTTTCTAAAAGTTTTGTAAGCTATTTTCTTCAAAACTCCATCTGAAGCTAAATGATAAAAGCCATTGGTTTTGCGTATTTTAATTGGTTTCACGACTTTAATTCCTGATTTAGAAGGAGAAGACTCTATCTTATTTGGTGAATTACTTTCTTGTGTATCTGTGCTATCTCTTTGTCTTTGAAAATGAGTTTCTAAAGGCATTGCGGTATTGCTCTCAATCTTTGTTGATGGCACAAATGACAAGGGGTTTTCTACAACCTTCAGATTGTCAATTTTATTCGTGGTAATCCAAAAACCTCTGGTTCTTTTCATTCTTCTAACGTCTAAGATTGTTTTAATTGTTTCAATACCTAACGGATCTTCCATTTCATACGGTCCAACAAACACACAATATTCGTTGTTATTGGGAATAGCATAAATACCAAATTGGGGAAGGTCAGTTTGTGTAAATTTTTTAGAAGATAGACGTACTGTTTTGCCTGATAGTCGAGCAACGCTTACTGCATTTATTATACTTTCATATTTAACAAAAAAACCTTTTTTGAAAAATCTTATTTCACTGAAGTCGTTTTCTATGGTCATAACAAACCATTTTGATGAACCAGAGTCCGACGGAGAGGGTGCATTGCCTTTAGTAAAACCATCCTTATGTTCAGATTTCTCAGCTAAAGATTGTTCATTATCCGCTGAGTTAACTTTACCGCATACAGTTAAAGACTCCATTGACGTACATTCCGTATTTTTGGTTTCCTTATTTGTAAATTCAACTTCAACAGATTCTACTCTAAATGAATCTGGACTAGCATAATCCATACTGAACGATTCAACACTAGATGATTCCAGATTTAGTGATTCAATATCAGATGATTTTACATTAGATAAGACTGGACCACATGAATCCGTGTTAGGCGAATTTATATTGAAAGAGTCCATATCTGGCGAATCCAAATTAGATGATTCAAGATCAAAACTTTCTATGTTACATGTTGTCACATTAAAGGTTTCAATTTTAGACGATTCCATATTAGGTGATTTCGCGTTGGATGACTCTATATTTATTTCTGATGTGTCGTCGTTTTCATTATTTTTCTGTTCACTATTTTCACTCACTTTAGTAACAGATCCAATTAGCTCCCAACAACAAGATAGTCCACGTAAAATACAGAAGTTATCTTTTAAATCAGATGCATTAATGAGTAAATTCTTAACAGTTTGTGGATATTTATTGAGATCCGCAAAACGAATATCATTAATATTGATGCAATTAGCGAAAAATGGGTTTCGCGTATTTACTGCCATAAAAATTCTGTAAGGTGGTACATTTGACACTAAAAATAGATTCTTTCTCTCTCTGTATCTTTTTAAAATAAAATCCCATGAATGTAACGCCACTTTTCCTTGCAGTGGTGGTTCTAAACAGTTCTTCAAGCCTTTATCGTTTCGTTTTTTGTACAGTTTATAATTTGTTTCTAACCACGCAACAAGTTTGGTATTACTACCCAAACGCTTTCTTTTTGCTTTGGGTTCCATTTCTTCATTATTGGTAGTAGGATCACAAAGTAATTGCAATATACCAGCATCAATGTTAGTTGGTTTAGCAGGTTCATTTCCGTAGATTTTACTATGAATACTGGCTAGTTTTTCCTGGAGCCTCTTATCATTTTTCTCCATATTTAATATTTTATTATTAGTGTTTTTGTAATAGCCATCGCTGTATTTTCTCCCCTCGTATGCATTCGTTCTTGAACTCTTCATACTAGCGTCTTCTGAGGAATCTGAATCATCACTTTCTGAATCAGATATTACATATTGCTTTCTTTCATTGATAGCACAGCTTTCCTTCACATTTGACTTTTTTATAGATTGTCTTGTTGCCATAACCCTCTGTGTATTGATAAATTCTGAAACAGAACTCCCATGTTCAGTTTCTTTATTTTTAGGTTTTATATTCTTACATTTAATATTATTTATAAGAAGGTTCTGCTTTGATTTTTCTTTTATTCTTATTTCATGACCTGAGTTATCCAGGTCTTTCAGTGTGTGAACTTTAGGCTTAATTTGTGTATCATAATGATATGATTTTAACTTTTTTTGCGTGTGTGTTTGTTCTGATTTTGTAGGCACTACCACACTTTCCTCTTTATCATTCATATCTTTATTGTTTTCTTCTAATAACTCATTAGTAACATCATCCTTTTGAGGTGTATCTTTGACTATAGTTTCGCCTGATAATGGAGCGCAAGTTTCTATAAATCTACCTTTACAAAAACACTTGTACAAATTATGAACCATGCACCAAGATTCTATGTTCTCACAATTCAATTTTAATGCTACTACAGTTAAATTAAGTTTTTTCGGGTGGTCATGTTTTAAGCTCATATTACTATAAAAATCTGCGTACTTTTTCGATGCTTTCCAGTTTCTTTTTTCATCTTTCAACAAAATTCTTTTTTCACCAGCTACTATAACAGTTTGATGAAATTTTTGTTCTTCTTTTGCTAAATTTAAGTTTATTTCATTATCTATATTCAATAACACAGGAAATAAATTGGAACCATCTGTACATGATAAATCACCTTTATAAGAAAAATTGCATTTACAACTGAACATGCATTCTATACGGCCACAATGTTGTTTTAAATTGTATGAACCTGCTAGTGATGCACAAATACAACCTAAAGCACAGTGCAGTTTGGCACAAGTTTGGGATGAATTACGTTCGGCAGTTTCTGGTAAAGTAATAACTGTAACGTCAAGTCTATCTAGTTCACAAAATTTCCTTTTTGATTTATCTTTTACCATCGCCAAAGTATCTATACATTTTTTATCTTCACGTGGAAATGTTTTAAGGTTCTCTTCGTTAACGAATAATGTATCTTGTATCAAACTTATTTCAACACACTCCACGATTTTCTTCAGCACCTCTTCTATTTCAGTTTTTGCGTCTGCTTCATCTGTCTGTGAATTCTTAGATATTGCGTCTTTATTTGTTAACTTGGATGATGTAACCAAATTTGTTTCCGAGTCACAACGCACGAGTAATCTTTTTTTATCATACTTGTATGCTAAATCGAATGTAATGCATTTTTTCTCTAATGGAACTGCTTTAGACTTTTCAATTTTGCCTAAAACAGACACGGCTAATTCAGCCCATTTTTGTGTTATAGTGCCATCTTCGTCACGCAAATGGTTTAAAAAGTTGTTAACAGTTGGATCTAAGGCGATACCATATGTCGGAAAGATGTCGATCCCTGGTTTTGGTAAATCTATTATTTCAGTGTTCCCCACATGGTCTTTTTGGTAGGATTTGTCAAGACTTTTTTTCCTGCACAAGGGACCTGGTTTAAATCTAACCGACAGTGAATTGCGCAAAAGACTTTTTTTTCTATTTACTTTATTATCACTAGGGACTTTAATTTTAATATTATCCGCTGGTAAATTATTGATTGCTAAATCGTAGTTGCAAATAGTTTTTCTACTGCCCCCGAAACTTCCGTTCACTTGAATAAATTTCCCATCGCATAAAACGAACTGACGTGCATATTTATGATCCTCTGGATTAAGATTAATTAACATCTGCCAGGTAGACCTTGAAACAGGCGCATCTCCCCTTAAAATGCTTTTTGCCAATTTTTTTGTCGTATGCTCCCCTGACGATCCATGTCTTATTTTTTTAAATAAAACTTTTTGTTGAGTTTCTAAGTCAGTAAAAAGGTAGGCATATGTATCATGCTCAAATGATTTTCTGATGTCTCTTACAGTTTTAACTTTCAGTCGTGACTTTCGTTTTGGGATGTAACACTTATCAGTTTTAGGTATATAATCGAAAGTACTTTTTTTTTCGTCATTTATTTTAAGAGGTGTTGCTGGTTGCACTTCCAAAAGATCGTAAAGATTATTCAGATGATCACTACCGACCCGCGTAATGTTGGAAGAAAACACTTTAGCACAGCTGCTGTCCATTATTCCTAGAACATCTGAAACAAAAGAGAAAAAAATATTTTTCGACCCATTCTGTTTTTCTTATGAATAAATAATAACAAGACGCACAATCGACGCCATGATCATTCACGTAACAATTTATTTAATAACTGTTCTTTTTAAACTGAACATCGAATGACTTATACTTACTATAATTAAATTTAAATAATTAAAATTGTTTACCGTTTTTATACCGATGACACAGCGCTAATTATGTATTTATAGGAATCCTTACATTTACCTACCTAGGAACTAGAACTCAAGTTATTACTACAAGCACAAAGACTGCGTATTTCTTGCTAAAAAAACTCACGTTAGTCGTATCTCCCTAACTTCAGAACTTCCTCTAACTACTCCGATAAAATTGGTTTCGAGATATCGAACGAAGAAGGTGAAGTTATTATTTTTATCTGGTTCACCAACGAATGTTTAGGTACACTAATAATATACTTAATAATTAATTGATATAAAAGCAATAATGCAACACTTACTTAAAGGTAAACACCACAAGCGCAAAGTGAATAATTACATTAAGGTGATGTAATATAATAATTGGTGATGGTGGAATAGGTGATAAAGAAAACATATAAATGATATAAAATCAAATTAATTAACATTCCATGTCAGTACTAAGTATTTGTGTGTCATAAATCAATTAATGAAATAAAAATCGCAGGTACATAGCTCACAATAATAACAATGTCAGTCTTGTCCGGTCCGGTAGTTTACACAAACATTTAGGTATGTTGGATCGGACTGAAATTACGAGAAACAATCATCCTGACAATGCTATTGCCACTGTCTTACTCGTGTAAATCAGAAACAACTTTTTTTCGGATGATAGCTTGATTTATTGGAGATTGACTCCTCCGGCTGACGCAGGTGCTTACCGGACACGGGTGTTTCGGGAAGTAGTTGTGTCGCAAAGGCCGGGAGCCGAAGTCTCAGTGCCACCATTGTGGTGATTGCCGCGACGATACGGCGCTGCATACGTTGGCGAAGTGCCCAGCTTGGGCTGAGCAGCGCCTTGACTTGGTCGCGCCCGTAGGTGCTGCGGGAAATCTCTCACTTCCGGCTGTAGTGTACTATGGTTGGGAGCGAGTCAGGGTGGAGTGCCGTCGCTACCATTTACGAGGCCGTGATTTCAAATTATCACACAAATAAATTTATCTTTATCAATGTTTATTAAGATAATTACGGATAATATGATAGATAAAAAAATCTTTTTTATGGGTTCCGTGGTGAATAAATGGAAATATGTACTTACCTACCTACTTATAAACCTTCAATAACTTAATAATACGACGAGATAGGTAAAAAAGCCTTGCGATTGTGTAACAACCGGAAACGTGCCGCGGGTAGGTACTGTTCCCGCATAGAATATGGTCTTATACAATGAGTACTTACACCTTACACATATTTCAACAGAAATAACGATTCCTTGTGTGATGCAGAAATTGTTTTTCTGCGTCGGACGTTGCGTTTATGTATCAATGTTCTTAAATGCATGAGAATATGGAGAAAATAAGCTAGGGGTACTAAATTACTTTGTTTAAAAAAAAAATAGGTAACTAAAAGCTCTTATCTTGTAAATAAATAAGCCAGGGAAATAAGCACTCCAAATACATTTAGGTACTATGGATTTAGAATTTCCTTAGATGAGCAATAGATGTAACGTGTATAGGAATTTTCAATGAAAATATTTGTTTTAAATTTTTAATTTCAAATTCATCAATAACAATTATATAGACACCAGTCGATAAATTTCTTTAACTTTCAAAGCATTGAAAAAATCCTTATGATAACTCGGACCTCTAAATAATCTGTATGAATCACAAAATAACTGATGCATGATGATCACGTTGGCAAAAACCGTTTCAAGCGTGTTTTTTGGAAAAATTATGACTTTTATGATTCAAAAATGTGCTACCTTACATAAAGTCTAAAAATAAATATTGATGATAACGATATTTTTGTTTTGCTTTAAGAATTATGGTGGCATGGTGATCATGATGTAATAATGTAGAATTGGACCAACATTCCCTGATGAAAAAGTTAGAAAATTACAGTTGTTTGATTTGACCTGTACTTATTCGGTGTTACAGCGCGTTCCTGGAAGTGCCTACAGCTTAGAATTTTTAATGGTGGTCCATTTATTTTGTTTTTTATACTTGGATTTAAACTCAAAAAAGACAAGGTTTTTTGTCTGTCAAGTCAAATCGTCGGACCCGTCCAGTAGACTACGGATCCCGCGCATTATAAGGATCACGTTAACCAGTCATATGTCATCTTTACAGTTATCTCAGTGTTTCTGTTAACTTAGGATGCAACTCATCCAACTGAACAGATATTCTTATGATACAGATAACAGATAGCAGGCAAATAACTGATATTGTTACCTACTTTACCGTGTGTTACTGGTGTCTAAGTAAACTTGGACACTACATATAAGTCGGAATATTTAGGTACACGAAAACTTTCCAGATTTCGAAGTATGAGAAGCGGGCACCTTGCCTAAGCTCTGGGCCACCATGACATGATTATATTTTACAAGTACCTACCTATTCTATTTTGAAAACCTTTTCAGTAGTTCCGAGAAATCGAGTTTATGGCATCGCGCGAACTCGCGATAGACAAATCATGGGACAATCACGTAGGGAATCTCATTCTATTCACATACTTTTATGGTTAAAATCGCTTCATCAATATTTCTTTCATGTTATGCTCAATTAATAGGTACAATTTGATTGGTTCACATTGTGATGAAAAGATTAGGACGGAGACGCCAGGAATGCCCCGAATCTCCGAGAAACAAGATGTGTTTGACTCGTATTAGGTGCCTATGGAAGTCAAACAAATCTCGAAGCTTGTTTAAACTCTGTAGAAATAGGATGTCCGTGCAGAAGAACTGCAAATGCTTGAATCAATCGCAAGACTCGCAGGCGCTGAATCGTGCATTCAATTCGTACTAGAGAGAACACTCGTAAGCCGCACCTTATAGCGCAGCAGTCGAAATTTGCTGATCTGATTCTAGTGCTGCTTAGCGTCTCTACAGGTACGCTCTCTTATGAAAAAGACGTAGTCATTGTGACCATCGTGCTTGGCGAATCATTCTTTGTTTGTATTCCAAATCTACAGTACAATTAAAAAATAAAACAAAAACCCGAACTCCATTCAGACGTGGTTAAACACGAAAATGTAGGTGTGACGTGGCGGAATTTCAAAAAACGGGAAGAAACTAGGTCTATGGAGTAACGGTGGTGTTCGTAGGTATAAGTAGACAGGTAGTTATACTGTTTTATATTTTTTATTTAAAAGTAGATAGATCCTTAGACCAGTGTTCTGCCACAACCATTCTGTGGGTGTGTTTCTTGTGAATTAAGAGTATCTACTATTTCGTGCGTAAAAATGTTTTAGACTTGCGTTGACTTTTTATCACACATGATGATTATCGTCTTCTTAAAATGCCGTAAATTATCAATAATTATTGATGGATTTTAGCAATATCGTTAAAATATTGTCTTTTTCAAGTTTACTAGATTTTTACCCGCCTACCTATGTGCTTACCTTCACATTTCAAATAACAGAAGAATAAGATGCTACACTAAAATTCTTAAAGTAAATAAAGCGTGGTAAAACATCGTGTAATATTAATCACTCACCTATTAAATGAAATAACAAACGATTGGAGTCACCAAACACGCAGTTAACAAGATGGCCGCCGTTGCATCTTCGAAAGAAAAACTAACCTTTCTAAATCTATGAAATCCTAATAACTATTCAGAATTTTTTGTGGAATTCTGTACACTTACTATCTACTTTATTACGGAACAATATGTATTTTTAATAAATTTGTTACATTTTAGGTTAAGAATATCCACTCCTTCGTTCGCACTATTTGGACCACAGATACATAAGACAAAAAGGTGCGTTCAAAGTTTAGAAAGTTTAGGGCGTATTTATATAATTTATTTTTATTTGCTGAGTATTTTATGGACTTTGAATATAATAAATTATTATATTTCTAATGTCTTTGAGTATTAATAACAAAAACAATGTAACCAAGGTACTTGAAACTGACTAAGAAATTCATTTACCGGTACTTACCGAATTTAGCACGTAGGTACACTGTGTAGTTTCGTACAACCTCAGACTTGATTAGGTCTTTAAAACTTATTTTAAATATATTTAATAGTTGGTATCAGTTAGGACAAACATAAAATTGTTTCGTGTAATAGATTTCTCTTTATCTTGGTTGATAGTAACTACATAACCCGTACATAACCTAACTTCAGCCTTTTTCGACAATTTATAATTAATTAACAAAAACTTATGGTTAAAGCTCGTGTAAAAACATTAGGTACCTATTTAAATGACGCAATTATTTGTTATTCAAGTATCTTTCATTGAGTAGATAACTAGTAGGTAAGTGTCGCGGGGCGGTGTTACAGAATGACGCTGCCCTGCGCGCTCATGCCAGTTCGACACGAACCTTTTAACCCTTGTATAAAATTATATTTTGCTTCAGAAATTAATCAAGACTGAATACTTACTCACATAATTAATAATAATTATAGTTGTCAGGTACCTACTTACACTTTACTGTATTAATAGTATACCTTACCCGTAAACCTGCCGTTTTCAGCTTTCATGCTTTCCACACGCTCTTAGTTAGGTAGGTTCCTAAATGTTCATCATTTGTAATTTGTTCACCTGTCGATGTCATGTGTATAACGGTTAGGGTTGCCACCTTTTTTTGTAGTTAAAAAAGTACATTGGTTATTATAGGTAAGAAAAAAAAGTACATGGGATCAAGATAAAGTACAATTTATTTTTCTTTATTTTTATATTTCAAAACATATTTTTTATTGCTTTTTGCAGTTTGCATTAAATAAGTATCTCTACAAAAACATCTTTACAGTCTTTACTATCTCTACTAAAACATCTCTTCATCTCGCTGTTCATCACAGACTTTTGAAAATCCCAAAAAAATCAATACATACAAAATAAAGTATTTTCGTGTACTTTATTGTTCTCATAAAGTATAGAGTACAATTACATGAAATAAAGTACAATACTTTATTATAAAGTACGGGTGGCAACCCTAATAACGGTCCACTGTTATCGTAACCAAGTCACATTCACTTGCGTGCGCGATCAATTAGGTAGCCACTATTTAGGATAGGACTCACAAGAAAGAGGTTTTCAATAAGGACCGTGCATTTATTTGTATAAACCTATGTATATCTACGGCCCGGACATATATACATAATATAATTAACTAATTATATGGCCGAATTTGTTTTTGTTCCAAAGCTAACCTATGGGACCCTTTATCATCAAGTCAATCCTGACTTGATGATAAAGGGTCCTAATGATGGGAAACTAGAGAAATTTTTGAAATTTATAGGGGGGTGACCGGTCTGTTGTTCGTTTGGTGAATAAGTAACCTATTTTCAAGCACTACAATTTGATCAGGGTTTATAGCAATGACCTTGTTGGATTTGATTAATTTGTATAAAATATATATAAAACTTTAAGTTTAGATGATTATTATTACTTGTGATTGTCATTATGCCTATCTAGTAATGAACAACTATGATAGCTTAGAGAACTCCTCAAAGGTTATAATAGTAGGTACCTAGCTACATTGTGTTTGGGCTTGTTTAATTTGTACTTTTATTAATGGATTTGCGGTCGGTAGCTGTGTAGCGTAAAGTACCTATCTAAGTATAAATAAAAATATAAAACAACGTTTAAAAAAACCACTTAAGTATGTACCTACTTCAAAAACAAAAGCATTGTAAGTTACTAAGTACCTACTGATTATTTAGATTTTTTAAAAGAGTGCCTCTCATGTCACAAAACTATTCTATAATACATTTTTAAAGGTACTTATTAAGTTTTGAATGAAAAACTTGGTTTAGAATTTAATAAATCAATTTCTAACCTATGAGTGTGTGGGTAACCTATCAGTGAAAAATAGTAATATTTTGCTTTTGTTAAGCTTTTATATTTTCATTTTGTTTTTTGTATAAAAAGCTAAAATTTGCATGCTACTTTCCGGTACAATATCTATATAAACTAAGTATAAGTAGGTAGGTACCTACCTACCTACATATTATGAAAGGATGGTGTTTCCTAATACTCCTTGAGATTGCTTAAAACTATTTAGGTATATAATAGGCAGACCGTTTCGGATTGTTTACGAACCGGGAAATTTTTACTGATTTATGAGTAATCGTGTAAAAAATAAGTAGGAAAAGTCAGTACCTACGTAGCTTTGCCGCGCAGTTTAGCTTCGGGGTTGGTGTAGCTTCCTAAATTGGATTTTTTCGAACCGGTATAGTGATTTGTGGCCTACTCAATCAAATCCTCGTTAGTCCTCCTCTTTAGTCATTTTAGTAGGTACCTATAGATTCAATAGTCAGTTTTAACATCGGCACTTTCATTTAATAAATTACAATATTATAGGACCGTAAATTTTTTTAAATAGGTAATCATGTTTATTCGTTTAATTTCCTAGTGTGTTTCAATGTTCAGATTATTGATAAATACGGTTACCTACCACTAACCGTTGTTAGTGTATATCGACAGTAAGAGTAAGTAAATAACTAAGCGTTGTTATTTTTAATTATAACTCATAGTAACGCTCTCTCTCAACATCTGATTTTCGTCGTTCGTCGCACTGACTGTACCTTCTTGCCTATTTTATTAACACTTGTTTATTTCCAAGTCTTCACCGGCGCTGAATAAAGACATCTCTCGAGTAGATCCAGGTCTGTGGAAATACCGAGATCAAAAGGAGTCAAGGCTATTAGACACCTGAACGGTAAGCTATTCGATGCATTAGACATTAAAATTTAGAGCAGATACCTACTTTTGGAGTCTAATTCAATGGAAATCTTTTTCTAGATAGGTAGATATTATAGATTAATATTTTTTTTATAACGCACTACTAGTTAAGTTGTAACATTGATTAGGAGTTTTAGAAAACTTATATTTCGTACTTTGTATCAACAAATAGTCGTATTTATTTTTAAAAGGATCATTGTCATTTGTCGCTACGCTTCTACATCTTTTAGGTGGCAATGGTAAACGATGAATAGATTATATTTTTATTGGTTAGGATAATAAAGTATCGAATGTTAAATAAAACTAGGTTATGTGGTCTTAACGTTTAATTATTCACGAAATCGTACCACAATTGCTTGTTCTTCCAGGTAAATCTTCGGCAGCATTCATCTTCGTATTTTCGATTCATTAGACCGTCTAGTAAACATGGCGTTAAGGAAATTGTTCTTATTTTTACGTATACATCTTATATTATTTTCATAACATAACATCTTTTCAGTTTTTGTAGTCACGCAAAAATACATCATATGTCGCAGGCGGGGCTAGCTAACTAGGAGTGGAATCGGGGTAACTGATCACTCTTACTGACTGAAATGACGCTTCGGACTAAAACGTTGTTTCAGTCGGGAAGAATCTAATGCTTTCTCCCACACTAGATTACAGAACAAACACGTAAAACTTAAGAATTATGTCACTGATAATTCATAAGTTTTACGCAAAAGATTAAAAAACATCCACACCAAATCGAATGATATCAAATATCGTAGGATTACTAATTAAACCCAAGTTTAGGATATTATAAATGACCGATAGGTACAAAATAAGACTAGAAATACTAGACTCTCCTATAACAGAGACACGTGTGATCATGATATTAAAAAGGATATTGTTTATTGTCTCTTGGTTCTTCGTGTGAACGATCTCGGAATGGAGACTTTTCCTGAAATTGAAATAAAATGAAATATGAAATCATCGTACTTTGTAAACTTGCAGACGTTTTATTAGCTAGAACAATAATTATAGAAGACTGTATTAATGAATTACAAGCGAACTATTAGCAAATATTTCAGTTTTTCTATTACAGTATTACCATTCAAATCAAGACCAACTGATACGTTTCGTGGTGTAGGTCACTACCATAGGTATAATTCTACTTATTGGTTTAATGACAGTGATTATTTATTTAACATTAACTGTGTCAAGTTCTTCGTTTCATGCATTTAATAATATAACAGATAGGCGTTTAGAATAAGCAGTGTTCGAGCGTATATATATAACCTTTTTAATTCAAAAATTGGTGTCAACGTCGTTGTTGGTTGCCGATTTTGTAAAAACTTCAGAAAACTATCATTATAATTATGTTGTAGCTTACCCGCATTACTATTTGACGAGGTAGCTCGACTATTTTCAACATTCATCGGGGACCCGCAGTCATGGACAGCATAGTACGCCAAAGGACGTAGAGAGCGTCAACATTGGCAATTAGGGCGATGGGCGTGGTTACTATAGACAGTTACGGGCTAATACGTTTTACGAACAGAGTTGTGTGTGTGCGTACTCACAGTTCTGTAGACGTTCTTAAAGGGGAGCAGCATTCGAAAAAACAGTGTCCATAATTTAACAAAGAAATATACTCAAAAACTTTTTATTCTAAACTCCTGGTTATTTTAATATCCAACTTATCATTCTTAATCATCTCATTTATTTCTTACCCTCTTATGGTATTTTTCATAGTGATGATCCTCTTGTGAACCATTTTGATGACTTCCCATTTTGGTTACTGCTAAATAAAACAAGGTTAGGTTACAATTACGCACAAAGTTGAAATACTAGTCGAGCGATTATTTTGGTAAACTAATAATATAAAATATTACCAGATATATTTATTCACTTCTATTTAGGTTCCTAACAATAGGGAATACAGTAAAAGTGCTATGTAATGATAATTAAAGTTCTATCGATATCGACACCACTCCGGATATTGTTCAGATCGCCGTCAGGGCTAATAGAGGTAACTAAATTTACTTGTATTGTGGTCGCGCTAAAGTCTGATA